GTATCTTTTTCCACGATCCACTTTACAATAAGAAATGTGTTGGCGCCACGTTTTCTTCTTTTTTGGGACCAAAGCACAAGTCGAAAGAAGTAAAGCGTGTCTCATCGTTTCACACACACATATGGTTGGTCTCTAGGAAAGTAGACGTATGCTAGATTATAGTGTCATGCACGAGCCATACCGTGGGCGTTACCATCCCTTCCACCACCACGGCGGCCACTTTCACGCTATAAAAACCGACGCAGAGCATCGAACACACGCACGGCCAGAGTCAAAGATAAGCTAGATACAGAGTCCAGAGTTCAGACAACATATATAGCAGCGGCGGCGACGGCACCATGCGCGCTCAGGCGAGCGTCCTGCACCGAGTCGCCCTCGCCACCACCGGGCCAGGCCAGACGTCGTCGTCTCCGGTGAGCATGACGGCCACGGAGCAGCAGCAGCCGGTGCCTGTCATAACAGTGAACTCGGACATGGTGGTCATCCTGGCGTCGCTCTTGTCCGCGCTCGTCCTCGCCCTCGGCATCGCCCTCGTCACCCACTGCGCATGCAGACGCCGGCGCTCCGCCAACTCTCCTCCTCCCACCAGGGGGCTGAAGAAAAAGGACATCGATGCTCTCCCCACCGTCTCCTTCGCTGCCGCGGCTCCAGCGCAGTCATCGTCTTCGTCGTCGTCAGAGTGCGCGATCTGCCTGGCAGAGTTCACGGAGGGGGAGGGACTGCGCGTGCTCCCGCAGTGCGGCCACGGCTTCCATGTCGCATGCGTCGACGCCTGGCTACGGAGCTGCGCCACATGCCCCTCCTGCCGCGCCCCCATCGTTGCCACGCCCACTGTGGTGGTCGTAGTGGCCGCGAACAACAGGTGCCAGAGGTGCGGCGAGGCGGCAGCGCGGAACGGTGGCGTCGAGGACATGTCCTTACCCCCATTTTCTTCATTCTCTGCTTTTTAGCTTGCCTGGCTGTCGACCCAATGTGTCTTGACATGTTAATTTTGCAATGTAAAACTTGTGTTTACTTGAGATTTGTAATTCAATTAGGCCCTGTGCTGGCGCGCTTCCGCAGTGGGCGAATCACCACTTCATCTTCTTTGACCTGGAACAAATCATTGGGCATATTGTTCGATTGAAAATAGCTTCAGTTTCATCTTGGGTTTTGACACAAGATGGTTGCCATGGATTAGGGGCCTGGTAGTCCTCTTCGAACTAAAATAATCACAAGTGTGTTACACGTGCGGCATGCATGCATGCGTGTCTGATCACATGCAGCCGCACTAGCTAGCGAATTCAAGTTGATGCACGAGTGAGATAATGATAGTGGCTGACGACTCAGTTGGTTGAGCGATTGTTCAAGCACGTGCTTACGGACACACAACCTAACAGATAACACGGATAGTTGCTACTTTCCATGACATCATGTCTCAATCAATGGAGTAGAGTTTTGCATGCACAGGTTAAATAATAAAGGGACAATTGCATTTTTACCCCTAGTTGGTTCCTACCCACGGGTTTTGCCCTTACTTTTCGAGCTTGCTCAGTTTTGCCCTTACTTTTTCCGTCGTGGTCCCTCGAATGCCCTTTGACTGTTTGACCAAAACTTTGAAAATTCATAACTAATTCATCTGAACTCAGAAAAATGAAAATTAGATATCAAAATGTTCGAATAAACATTACCTTTATGTGCATATCATTAGCATTCAGGACAAAAGCATCCTTTAAACTAAGGTAATTAATGTTATTAACATTATTAAAAATAAAAAGGTATAAACAATATTTTTTTCATGAATAAAAATGACATGCAAATGTAGGTGATGTTTTCTGAACATCTAGATATCTTATTTACATTTTTCTGAGTTCGTATCATCTTGTTAAGAATGTTCTAACGACTTTGACCATTATTTGGAAACTCCATAACAAGTTGATACAAACTCAGAAAAATGCAAATAAGATATCTGGATGTTCAGAAAACATCACCTACATTTGCATGTAATTTTTATTCATGAAAAAAATATTTTTTATACCTTTTTATTTTTAATAATGTTAATAATATTAATTACCTCAGGTAGTTTAAAGGGTACTTTTGTCCTGAATGCAAATGATATGCACATAAAGGTAATGTTTATCTGAATATTTTCATATCTTATTTGCATTTTTCTGAGTTCATATGAATTAGTTATGAATTTTCAAAGTTTTGGTCAAACAGTCAAAGGGTATTCGAGGGACCTCGACGGAAAAAGTAAGGGCAAAACTGAGCAAGCTCAAAAAGTAAGGGCAAAACCCGTGGGTAGGAACCAACTAGGGGTAAAAATGCAATTGTCCCAATAATAAAAGATGACCACTTGAGTTCAAAAGTTCATATCTTGCCCCTCACGATCTTCTCAGCTCTTGTCCACTTCCGACGAAAATGGTGCCTATTGCATATGGTCCATTCGGAGTGCATCACAAAGCAAAGGCAAAATTAAGCGTGGGAAATCAACATATCATGAGATAAGCCAAAGTGTTTTCATTCATTGAGGCACTATATCGATCTCTTCTTAAATGGGTAATAAGGTAGGATAGAGATATTCCTATAAGGAAAAGATTGGATAGAGATGGTTAAAGATGCAAATCATACTTTTCATTCCATTTTTTTACACAGTAAAAACACAGACGCTCATACATACGCACATACACTCATCCTATGAACGCACGTACGCACACCCTACCCCTATTACGATTAGCACCTCCGAGAGTCTAATCTGGCACGTCTTCTTGAGATTGACGAAGTCGCCACTGTCGCCTTTATTAGCACCTCCTTTTCTATATCCCTATGTAGGGCCTCTTTGATTCAAAGGATTTTCAAAGCTTTTACTTAGAGATTTTGGAGAGACCCACCATAGCCCCCATCTGTACCTCCACCTATGACCGTGCAGTCGAGGAAATCTAGAAAGAGGCAGCTACGTCCAAGCTTAGACCATCAAAACCCAACTTGTGTGTTTTTAGGAGCCCTCTCTCGCTCGCTTCCGTGTTTGTAGTTGTTGCTTTTTTTGACAAAGGTTGGATTTTATTAGCTCAAATGAAGCATCAAGAGGTTACAAACACTATGAACACACATCCGACCTCTGCATAGTTAGGATCCACACAACTAACACTAACATAAACATAAACTTGCCGATAACTAGCGAAATCATAAAAGACCAAAGCTATATGTGGGCAAGAAAAGAAAAAAAAACAAGACTTTCAAATTGGATCGGCAAACTATAGCACATACAATATCCGCAACAACATCTCATGAAATCACAATGACGACGAAATATTTGAACAACAATGCCTTCAGGAAGGGATAATCACTCATGTGCCATCGTCATCAGATCCAACCATCACTGTCAAAATCTAGGTTTTCACCCTGAAAAATTAGTTCAACCATATCCTTCAACAACCTAAGGAGGAAGACGTTGCCATTGTCAGGTATAACAAACTCGGGTCAGACATAGACTTTCACCTCGGAGCTCAAGACCGGGTGCATGTAGCACCACCATAGATGTCACCTATGTGTTGTAGCCACTACTTTTTCGCGATCCCAACAACTACATGTAATGTGACCACCGCCGCTGCGCAACCATCCCTTTGCGTCAAGTCTTCGTCCATTATTTGCATCTCACCGCTAAAGTCAACCGCTTGATCTGAAGAGATAAACCCTCTTTGTGACCATCACTGTCGTGGAGCTGCCGGAGGTTGTTGTAGCACAGTATGCAGGCACCACCCTGGCCGACCGGATCTAAATCACCACCAGAGCTGTATCAGGCAACCAAGCCGGGTCAGCCATGGACGACGCGAAAGCTGCGGCCGCCAAGATCAGATCCGTCAGGAACAACGATTGGCCCACACGTCACCGATGCAGATGTGGTGCGTCATAACGACTGCATATCGGAATGCGAGCTGACGGATCCGTGTAGTGAAGACCGAAGCACGCGCCGACAAACCTCCATTCCAATCAAGCGCCACCCAACGAAACCAGGATTGGCACCGGATCGCACGAACTGCCGCGCCTCGCTGCCGATTGTCCCTGCACCACCACACAACCAAAGCCCTGGGGCGCCACCCAAGAAGCCGCTCGACGCTCGCACCAGCAGCTGCCCCAGCATCACCTAGCAGCCTCCGGTTGCACCAATAGAGCCACCGCACGCGAGCCCCAGCAAACTCGCGGACGAGCTGGCCCGTCAGCTACCACCACTCCAGATCCATGAGGGCGCATAAGCTACCTCCCCATCAGATCCGCTGGAGGCGCACGAGAGAAAGGCCCTGCCACCAGCGCCGAGGCCGTGCGGGCTTTGCCCGGCGGCGCTGTCTGACGGCGACGAGGGGAGGATAGGAGAAGGGGGCACGTCCAGGAGGCCAAGGTGCCGCCCGTGCCGCTCCTGGGAAGTGACCCGGCTTTGCAATGCCCGTTTTCAGTTGTTGCTAGGTGGTCTAGAGGCAATGATATAATTTATGTCACATGTGTTTGAATGCCATGATATTTAATGAATATATCAAATATTTCCGGCAAAAAAAAGTGACAACTTAATCACGATAAGTTACCAAAGCTCAAAAGTTTTTCTATCAGAGTATAGCAAAGCACATACCAAAAGAAGAAATTAACTTAAGCAAATCCACTTAACTACATATGGTTGGTCGCTAGGTAGATGTTTGTTACTAGTTCAGGTACGCACTTGCTTTCCACGTACGAACATACCACGCGTGCAGGAAGAAACTTCAAAAAGTGGAATGCGTGGATGGACCGTACCGGCGCCCGCCACTACCACGTGGGCCCGGCCTTACCTGTCTGCGGGCCCGTTGCTCCTTCCACTACCGTGACAACATTCTCTATCTATCCACAAGGGGCTAGCTAGCTATAAGATGACACGCGCTAGCCCGCACGCACGGTCACGGGCAGGTCCAGAGTCAAAGCAGACCTAAACGCCTCGACAGAGAGTGCAGAGCGTCCACCGTACCGTAGCAGAGCAACGGCGACGGTGCGACACCATGCGCTCTCCGGCGAGCCTGCTGCACCGCAGCACGGCCGCCGCCGGCCCCGGCGAGCCTCCATCGCTGCCGCCGCCTCGGCCCGAGCAGCAGTCGCTCGTGGTCACCGTGGACTCGGACATGGTGGTGATCCTGGCGTCGCTGCTCTGCGTCCTCCTCTGCGTCCTCGGCCTCGCCCTCCTGTCCCGGCGCGCGTGCCGCCGCCGGTCCTCCGACAACTACCCTCCTCCCCCCAAGGGCCTCAAGAGGAAGGCCATCGACGCGCTCCCCACCGTCTCCTTCGCCGCGGCAGCTTCGTCGTCGTCGGAGTGCGCGATATGCCTGGCGGAGTTCGCCGACGGAGAGCCCGTGCGCGTGCTCCCGGGATGCGGCCACGGCTTCCACGTCGCCTGCGTCGACGCCTGGCTCCGGACTCGCGCCACGTGCCCGTCCTGCCGGGCCGCCATCGTTGCCACGCCCATGCAGATGCAGGTACAGCCAGCGGCGACGCCCACCGTGGTAGTTGTCGTGGCAGGGAGTAGCAGCTGCCGGAGATGTGGCCAGGTGACGGCGCCGGCCGGTGCACGTGCTGCCGACGGGGCGTTCTTGGCTTAGTCACCGTTCTTGGCTCGGCCTCTGCTTTTTATGAGGTAGCTGTCGATCCAATGTACTCGGACAGGTTAATTTTTTGCAGCTCCTCTGTTAAGCAAAACTTGTGGTGCTTAAGATTTCAGTTAGACTCTGATGCTAGCTAGCGGGCTGCTTTCAGCACAGTAGAGCAAATTTCAAACTACTAATATGTACTCCATCCGTTCCCAAATGTAAGTCTTTCTAGAGATTCTAACAAGTGACTACATAGGGAGCAAAATGAATGAATGTACATTTTAAAATATGTCTACATACATCTGTATCTTGTAGTCAATTTGAAATGTCTAAAAAGACTTATATTTAGGAACGGGGGGAGTATTTGCTCTGCTAACTGCTACTCTAAAAAAATGACTAGTGCAAGATGATGACATCTTCTTCTTTCAATGATCGATCGATCACTTCACCAATTTGCCATGCATCATCATCCTTAAAAATAAATAATAGTAGTCTATTGTTGTCCATTTCAGTTCGTTTATTATGGTGCTCTGCTCTCTGGCCAAATGAAGCCAATGAAGCTTTAATCAGTCTCCATCAGCATCAGTTTGCCGTTCATTGCAAAACAAGATGATAGCAGCTTGAGGGATGGAGATCCAAAGACAAAGTAAAAAGGACAAACTCATCATTTTCTTTGTTGTTGTTTTTCCTTCCTTCTTCGAAAGAATAGTTTTTGTTGGTTTTCGTCCAAGCTTTCAACGTTGACGTGTATGCAATGTACAACTGGCACGATTCAGACAGGTCGTGACAGAGCGAGTCAGTCTCATGGTTCTTGTTTTTTTTTCTCTACAATTATTAATTGCAAAATTTCTCACCGACAGCTACGTACGCTTGGCGTTAATCGATGTAGATTCAAAGGCGAAATTCGTCCTCCACAATGCAAGATTCACACGTCGCCCCCGCTTGGGCGACTCGGGAGGTGACCCAACCCTAGCCGTCGCTGGGGCCATCAACCTCTTCCTCCCCTCCCTCCGTCGCCGCAGTGGGACGCTGCCGAGCTAAGCCCGGGGGCCGACCACGGTGGCGGGGGTATCCCTCCCTCTCGCAGCATGGGGTGGTGCAGGGCCCCTTGACGTGAAGGAGCGGTCGGCTAGGTCATGGCGGCACGACGGATGGCGATGGTTGCAGTCGGCTTCGTGGGGCAGCAGAGTCGACTCGGCCCGCGGCTGGTGGGGTGACTTCATATGGGCGGCGGTGGCGTGGAGGCCTGGTGATGGGTCCGGCTACATGCGGGGTATGGTCTTCGGTTAGATCTTATCTGACCGGTGCAACCTGCTCGCTGCCTGGCGGTCCCGTGCACATGATGCTGGATGGAGGTTCTCGAGCAGATCCGGATGAAAACCCTACTCTCAACTACTTGCCAATGCCAGTGATGGTGACGTTCTTCTGTCTCATCCCCTTCTTAAAGGCATTGGCATGGAGAAGCTCCACACCTCTATGGGCTCTCATGGGGGGAAACCCTGGATCAGTCGATCGGATGACGGCGACGCTCTTCTGTCATTCCCCATGGCACTACTAGGGATAAACCTAGTAGTGATGCGGGGTAAAAAGCTAGTGTTAGCGCGGGTGGCCATTGGATCTCTTGGGATCGCCCTGCTTAACTAACGTTGTTAGCTTCATTCCCTTCTACAAGCATCGCCATGCTAGCATCATCCCCATCTCACATCCATTGTAGTCCAACACCATCACAGGACGACCCATCGTGACAGCCGCCGCATCATCATCGATGTTGCGATCATAGACACACAACATCATTAATGATGCAAATCGTCACTACCGTCGAGTCCACCGTCGCAACATCGCCCTGCAACACCGTCTTTGTTCTAGTCGCCTCCATGCAACATCGATGGTGTGACATCCAGCATTGTAGCATCACCATCCTGCAACATCTACATTGTTGCAGTTGTTGATACACAACATCATGGCCGTTGTGCATCATCGCAACCATTACGGTCACCGTCTTAGCATCACCGCCATTATGGTTGTTACGCACACAACATCGCCAATACCTCTACACACCTTCTCATAGCATGGCAACACCGAAACCGGCTTGCAGTATCACAACAACACCCTCTTGTAGCAAACGATACGACATGATGGTGGTGCGGGGGAACACTGTAGTCTTTAATGTCGGTGTCACCCTCCCTAGGTTTTATCAAACATGTTGTTGCGGGTGGTCGTCGGTGCCCCCGCCATTTGTAGCATCCTCTGTTCGCCATGACATGGGTGCGGCACTAGGTGGCTGAGTCACCTTCTATTTACGGCACCTATTGTGCAGGCAGGGGCTGAGTTGATGAGGAGTGGTCAGGATTGCAGTTGGTAGTTGTCGGCCTCAACCTCTCGTTGGACATGATAAGATGCGATGTCTCCATGGGAGCCATGTTTCCTTAGCCGATGTTGACGAACAAGAGTGAGGAAGGGGAAAAGGAAGGAAGAAACATGTGGAGGCACTAGTGGAAAATGGGGCTTTAGTCCTGGTTGGCGACGACCTTTAGTCCCGGGTCACCAACTGGGACAAAAAAATTGGGACTAAATGCCCCCACCCTTTAGTCCCGGTTGGCCACAATCCAGGACTAAAGTCCCTCCACGTGGCCACGAGCGTGCGCTGGGGGCTGGAGGACCTTTAGTCCTGGTTGGTGACAGCAACCAGGACTAAGGTCCCTCCACGTGGCCGCGAGCTAGCGCCGGGGGCTGGAGGACCTTTAGTCTCGGTTGGTAACACCAACCGGGACTAAGGATTTTGTGTTGGGGTTTAGGGTTTTAGGGTTTAGTGTTCATGGTTTATTTTTCCATTTCATTTTGTCTTTTCCATTCAATTCTTTTCCATTTTATAAATATTGTACGCTACTATATACGGTACACGTTATTCATATATAATAATTTCTCTTACGACCATACATATATAATATAATTTCTGGTACGATCATATATATATATAGAGAGTCCAGGCCAGGTGCTATGACTGCAGTTCTGCTCCCCATAAGGATTCATGCCATATGTACTTATACCAAACCATAACTTCCTTGCGTCATCTGCAAAGTACGCGAACTTTCTCTCGATTTTTCTCCACTGCGACCCATCAGCGGGTTGTCTCAACATCGCATCTCTCTTACGGTCTTCTTTGTTCCATCGTAACAACTTGGCATGCTCTTCGTTTGGGAACAAACGTTTCAACTGTGCTATTATAGGAGCATGACACATCACCTTGGCAGTAACCCTCTTCCTAGGGTGCTCGCCCTCAACATCACCAAGGTCATTGCGGCTGATCATATAATGCAATGCACCGCGTACGGGACATGCATTCAAATTCTCATACTCCTCACCGCGGTACAGGATGCAGTCATTAGGGCATGCATGTATCTTCTGCACTTATAATCCTAGAGGGCATACAACCTTCTTTGCTTCGTCCGTACCGTCGAGCAATTCGTTATCCTTTGGAAGCATCTTCTTTATCATTTTTAGCAACTTTTTAAATCCCTTGTCAGATACACCATTATCTGCCTTCCACTGCAGCAATTCCAGTGTGGTACCTAACTTTTTGTTGTCATCTTTGCAATTTGGTACAGCAATTTGTTGTGACCTCTAACATGCGCTCCAACTTCAACCTCTCCTTTTCACTTTCGCAGTTTCTCTTTGCATCAACAATGGCTCGACCAAGATCATCAGCGGCCTCATATGATGTCTCTTCTTCAGCTTCCCCCATTGTAGTACCATCGTATTCAGGGAACCTAGGGTAGTTGTCATCATCCTCTTCTTCATTTTCTTCCATTATAACCCCTCTTTCACCGTGCTTGGTCTAACAGTTATCGCTGGACATGAAACCGACCTCAAGTAGGTGGCTGTGAAGTATTTTTGAGGTAGAGTAATCCTTATTATTCTTACAGAAACCACATGGACAACACATAAAACCATTCCTCTTGTTTGCCTCAGCGACACGAATAAAATTATGCAGGCCATTAATGAACTCAGGAGAGCGTCGGTCATTGTACATCCATTGCCGGCTCATCTTCATTGCACAACATTGAAGTGACCAAATGTTATTACTGCAAATATATATACATAAAGTTCATACATACTTCTCATAAAACAACATACAACTATCTAAATTTAAATGCAACAACAAATGCGATCAAAATGGCAACTAAGGTAATAATTGATCCAACAACATAATGATACCAATCCACTTTATTAATGTCATATTTTCTAATCTTTCTAATCTTCAAGCGCATTGCATCCATCTTGATGTTGAGATCATCGGTGACATCGGCATCATACAACTGCAATTTTATCTTCTCTTCTTCATTTCTTTTCAAATTTTCTTTCAAATAATTGTTTTGTGTTTTAACTAAATTTAACTTGTCGACAAGAGGGTCGGTTGCAATTTCCGGTTCACATAGCTCCTAGATAAAAATATCTATGTCAACTTGATGGGCATAATTGTCATGAACACAAAATGAAACTAATAGTTATAGAAGATAATATACCACATTCGAATCATAACCGGACGAGGGCTGACGGGGATGGATATCAAAACCATGCCACTATATATAACGAACAATCATACAATTAAGAAAATTATACAAGTAACTATCTAAATCATACAAATAAGATTTTTTTACAAAAAGGATAAGAACTAGAAGCTCACCAAGGTGGTGTCAGCTATGGGACAACGCGGGCGATCGACGGCAGTGAGGACGGGGACGGGAAGGCACTAAGTAAACCACACCTACAAATATGAAAACTAAGAAGTCAATTTGAGCTTAGAGTGCATATAAATCAAATAAACTCCCACATAATTACTCGCAAACTAAAACCCACAAATCACTATACTTATAGAACATGAAACGAGCTAAACTACCAATGGGAGATGAATGGATGAAGTTGCTAACCTTTTAGAACCCTTGGATAGATGGGGTGCCTCCAATCTTGACAAATCTTGGAAAAAATGGAGGATAAACTCGAGCTTGGGGAAG